TCACTTTATTCTAGTGTAGCCTGACAGTATACAATTTATTATTCCCATCTCACAGAGACTCAGAGAGGTTAAATAAGTTCCCTAAGGTAATGCTGTGAACAGATCGACATTGTAAACCAGTCCTCTCCAGCGTCAGAAGCTTGACTCTTATTTACTGTCACACACTGACACACTTCATCATATGTAAACAGAACCCAGACGGCGAGTTCAGGACCGCAGACGTTCAAGCACAGGTGGTTATCAGTAATCCTATCTCACAAATCAAACAAGCCGAGGACAGTAATCTCTAGCCCCTTGTTCATCTACGTTTGGAAAACGTTGGAAGAATAGCTTATTCTCTTCACCTGGGAGTCAGCCTGTAGCCTGCAGGAGGTGCTGGTGTGTCTGATTAAGGAATCTTATACAAGCAGGTGTGAACACAAAACAAACAGAAATATGTTCAACAGCCGTTTCTGCTTCCCCACTGGTGATAATAAGTCGGTGTTGGTATCACCCTTCTCTTCTTCTGAATAGGAATAGGACCTTTGACTCTCAGTGGACAGAGGCCAGGTCTTGTTTGAGAGTGAAACTCGCCATCTGCAATTGGAATATTGTCCTCTCGTGTAACACCCTGCATGCACCTTGGTGACCCCCCGACTAAGCAGGTTGTTCTCTTCATCTCCAGCTAAGCCTCTCACGGAGAGGAGCTCTTTTCATCCTGCCTGAATAAAGCCAATTACCTGTAACACAGAAGAATGAGTACCTGCTCTACAGGCGCAATACTCCCCCAAGCCCTGGAGGAGAACGTAGGTCTGCAGGCGACCCACAGCACCTGTGTGCAAAGTCTCACGTGCAGAGTAAAGGTGAATAACAGGCAATGTTAGCACAGACTGGGCCAGAAGGCGGGGATGGGGGTGGAGGTTGAGGGGATGTGCCATTTCACTGTACATCTCTTACTTTACTAATTCAATATAAAAGCAAAGCCATTTTGGGGGAGGGGACAGAACGGAATTGAAAGATACATAAAATAAACATTTTAAGTTCTCCACCCACATGTCATACATGTATGGGACGGGGAGAGTAAGACTATGTGTGCTATACTGTGAGTTGCTCTTTGCCCCTAACACTCTATCTCGGGATCTGCCCGACTTCCATATGGATGCCATCTTGTCGCTTACTTAAACGGCTACATCATGATTCCACTGGACAGATGCGCTAGTCTTCACTCAACCAGTGCCCCACTGTTGGGCTTTTGGCTACAGAGAAATTTCTTTAGCGAGTGGTTGTGTTAAAGCAGTGAGTGTACAGAGTTCTAGAAATACTTGACAAACCTCATCCAAGTGAAATGAAATTCAAATAAAAAAAAAACAATTCAAACAGCCTAGAAATTTTGAACAGTTTTATTAATTTCAAATTTCTTGAATACTTATTATTAAATGAGAAAGCTTTCATTATTGCCCCACATACTTATCAGGAAAATGAAACCTTTCCTTTTGCTTGAAGTGTTTTGACAGGATTTCTGAAAACAAGAAAGGAAGGGCCTCTAGGGGAACGTGAACACACCAGGCAAATGAGATTCTGGCACTCCTCCTCCGGAGAGGGGTTATTTTCAGTCAGCACTTACTGCACCCAGCAGATACCAGACAAAAACCAGATTGCAATAAAAGCACGAGCTCTTCAGACTACTGCCCCACGGAGGCCCTTATTTTACTGAATTACTGTAGTTTTTAGAAAAATTTACAGCAGCCTTTAAGGACATCTTAGGCAACTCAAAGAATACATAATAATTAATAAATAATAAATCAAACAACAAGGTAAATAATAAGAGCAAATTACACTCTTCTTCTTTGCATTCTGTCTTTGTTTTAAAGGAAGGGCTTTTGTGGTAGGGACTCTAACAAAGCCCAATGACCTTCAAGTCATCTTTTATTCTAAACCTGCCCTCAAGGCTGAGAGTGTCTGTAGTTCAAGAGCACCCAAAGCGATGACATCAGGTTCTGAGACTGGGAAGTATGGCTTGGTCAAATGGGCTACCAAGCATGCAGTACCAACCCTTGAACTTTGATGGGGCTGCCATATGAACTTTCTAGTCAAGAACTGCACACACAGACACCACTTGACTAATTCATTACACATAGTGGATATTCAATAAATATGTACCGAGTAAATGAATAAATAGTTATGAAAGTCAAAGTTTTGTCAAGTTGTCTCCTACGGTACTCCTAACAATAGTGAACAGAAGAAAGGATGAGACGTGATGCCAAGAAAAAAGTAGAAAAATTATTTAAAGCATACTTCTCTGATCCATGATAAAGTTGTGATGTGGTTGAAATGAATCTTCCAAGAGCTCCCAAACCTCCCTTTCCGCCCTGTCTTCCTTATTTTCACCCTTTTGTCAAGTTTCTTCTCTGACCCATGATGAGTGACCACTGAAGCTCATTTTCTTTCTGTGTTCCTCCTCCTCCTCTGTATAGTTTACACTCAGGACAATCCTCATAAATTAATTCACACTAAGGTTTAAGTGACTGATACAGTTGAATCTTTACTCTCATCAGGATTCTTCATGTTTAATGAAATATACAGAATTAACCTTCAATTCTCTAATGTCTCAGGATCCTTTTATCATCACATGAACTTTCTAGTACACCTAGAAATGTTCTAGAAATCACCCTGTTCAACTCCATTCGCCCAGTTGTGACTCACTCATACATCAGGCTTCATCCACAATGAGAGTTACCACGCTGGGCTCAAAGTTTTTCACTTAACCAAACTACATTCCTTAGTCATCATCTGAGGAAAGAGGACCAACACACCATCAGTTTAACTCCAAGCTTTGACTTGGCTGAAAGTTCTATTCTACTTACTCTACTGAAAACAGCTAAATCATGGGATCTATTTATTTTATGTCACAGAACAAAAGTCCATATACACTGTAGCCAGTCATAATACACCCAGCTAAAAGGCTAAGCTAAGGGTGGAAGTCTGCAACACTCCAATTCTCCACACTGTGGAGAATCTCTGATCCTCTACTTTCTAAGACTACTTAGAAAGTAGTCTAAGATATCTGTGGCCCAGATAGAGGCCAGGTCGCCCTGACTGAGCATGACCACAGTTTGAAGAATTGCTTATAGCCAATTAGGATACACATGTCTGGTCTGAGACATATATTTTGTAGTGGCTTCTTTGAAGGGATTTGCAAATTAAATTATTTAAATGTGCTTATCATTAGCAGTTTAAATAAATGACATTTATTTTGGCAAGAGGTTAATTTTTAACTTGGTAGCTGTTTCCAGACAGATCATTGTCAGGTTATGACAGTGACTAACCTTGAAAACAAGGGGAATTTACTGGAGATCATTTTGTTTTCAGACCTTCGAGCTTGCATTTCTCCAAAGAGGGCATAATTTTGTCAATATGCAGGGACACGGGGCCCCAAAAACACTGCAGTGTGTGCATCTTTCTGACCTGATTTCAATAATAACCCCACATATGGAGAACTAAAAATGTTCTTTAGAACAGGAATGCTGCAGATATTCTCTACAGAGGCCGTGATGTTGGTAAACTGAAGGTTTACATAGAAGATCTTAGAGGTGCCGGGTTATACAGGGTGAGACAGAGTAGGTTGACAGCTGTGAATATGTGAAACACAGAGTTTAATCTTATATGATTACTGCTTAATTATTGTAATATTTTCTATACAAACAACTGTAAACTTACTTTTGCCCCACCCTGGGCATTGGGAAGAGCTCCCAACAGAGCGTTGGGAGGTCTGGATTCAAGTCCCAACTCTGAGAAGGTCACTAACTGAGTGTGCACTTGCAAATACCTCAAGCCTGCCTCAGTTTCCTCATCCGGAAGATGAGGGTATGTGAAGACAATCACTAAAGTCCTTCAGTAAAAAGTCTATGCACATGAAACCAGCCTAGGTAGTATCAAAGTTTGCCAAGGTTGTCCTGGGATTTGCACAAACACCACAGAGTGTCGCTCCATCCACAGTACAGCCTAAAACCCCACAATCCTCATGTCTCATCTGCCCCCAATTTTATTTTTTTAAATTTATTTATTTTAGACAGAAGGGAAGGAAATGAGAAAGAAAGGACAAGAAACATCAATGTGCAGTTGCCTCTGGTATGCCCCCTACTGGAGACATGACCTGGCCTACAATGCAGGCGTGTGCCCTAACTGGGAGTCAAACCGGCAACCTTTTGGTTTGCAGGCCGGCACTCAATCCACTGAGTGACACCAGCCGGAGCTGCCTCCAATTTTAATGCCTCACCTTGCAGCCACAATTCATGACAACAATGTCACCTGACATTGCAGCTACTGATGAGTTAATATTGGTTGGCAGAATGGAAATTTGATTATTGGTTGGCAGAATGGAAAAAGGAGTGGGTTTTTTTTTTTTTAAGAAACGGACAACTATCACCTCTCTACTTAAAAATTTCTTGGGATTTACTAACAAATTACCAATTTATGTTACAAAGTTATGAGCCACAAATCAAATTTCTATGAAATACCACAATAGGACACAGAAACACCATAAAGTAGCTACCAACATCCCATTTGGTTCTCATTCTTATGACGAAGAAACTCCAATAGTTTAACTTTAAGCAATGTAGAAACGAGTAAGTCTGATTTTTAATCAGAAAAAAATGACACAAGACAAAAAATTCCTATCTTGTTTTTTAATATAAAAAGTTATCAGAATATATATTTAGCAAAACATCTAAACTATAAGCAAAACGGAAATCTATTTCCTAATTAAAAGTGAGAATAAATTCAAAAGAATACAGAAAATGGTTTAAATATTTTTTTTACAAATAGCCAATCAGATATGATGGATGACTTCATTAAAAACATTCTCGCTAGAATGTCTAATCATTTTAAATTCAACTAATGCTTTTTAATTCTCCCTTTGGATTACATAAATAGTAAGCCCAAAGCCACGAGAGAAGTCTTTGAAAGACTCAGAGTGATATTTTGCACATAGTTTTGAAACATAATGAAGTGACAAGTCATACCTTGAAGTCATACGTCGCATCTGGGTTTTCATCACAGGCAATAACTTCTGGTGCCATCCAGTAGGGAGTACCGATGAAAGTATTCCTCCTGCCCACGGTTCTATCAAGCTGGGCACTGACTCCAAAGTCCACTAGTTAAGAGAAGGCAAAGGAATGAAGTCAACGATTTTTATATGATAATAAAATGAATGTGTAATTTTTGTTAAAATATGCATAAAGTTTACCATTTTAACCATTTTTAAATGTTACTAGTTCTGCGGCATTAGGTTCGTTCATATGGTTGGTTGTGAAGCATCACCACTACCCAATTCCGGAACTTTTCATCTTCCCCAACTGAAACTCTGCACGCATCAGCAACTACCCCCTCTTCCCAGAGCCTGGCACGCACCTTTCCACTCCCTGTCTCTGTGAATCTGACTACTATGGCCACCTCATATAAAAAGAATCACACAGTAGTTGTCTTTTTGTGACTGGCTAACTTCGCTAAACATGATGTTTTCAAGATTAATTTATATTGCAGCATGTTTCAGGATTTCCTTCTTTTTTAAAGCTGAATAATATTCTATTGCATGTACATAAGTACATCTTGTTTACTCATTCATCTGTTGATGGGCCCTTGGGTGGCTTCTTCCTTTTTGCTATTGTGAATGTGTATTTTTAAATTGCATAAATAAATGAATAAAGTGTACCAAGGAGGAAATCACAAATTTATATTTGGTTATGCCAAGGCTTCACAGGGACCAAAAATAGCTGTTAAATAAAAAGCAAGCTTGGTCGTCATCATAAAGGGTAATATTCAAGAGATTCAAGAAAAGTGATTAGGAACTAAGTTTCTGGAGGCAGAATGCTTAGATTTGCACCCCATTTCCGCCACTTCCCAGTGATGTGACCTAAGGCGAGTAGATCAACCTCTCTGAGCTTCTGTTTCCTGACCTATCGAACGAAGACGAAGATCTCTACATAGTGTTGGTGCAATGTTTATGTGAGGTAGTATTTATAAAGGTGCCTTATACAGGGCCTGGCATATAGCATTCTCTCAACAATAACTGGTAATTAGTGATGAGTAAATATTCTGAGAATAGCTTATCTAGTCACTACACACGTAACTGCTTTCACGATGTAATGTATGCTCTTTTTTAAAAAAAACAAGGAATATTCATGAGATGACAGTTTGGCCCTAAATGCTAAATAAGAAAAAATGAAAATCATATACTTTAACAAAAAAGGTAAGAACCAATGTTTGGGATATAAACATAGGATATATTTAAATTTCTGAAAATAAACAATCACATTAATGGTGATTCTTTCCTCGGAGACAAACTGTGTATCCTATGAGGGTTTGTCAGTTTATGCTCTTACTCATACACCAAGCAGACAAGCAGATGCTGGCATGTCTGCCACATCTGGGCAGTGTCAGACTTGTCGTGGGAAGGGTCCGAATGGACAGCACCAGAGAAAAGGACTCCCAGGAAGTCCTCCCAGGAAAAGGACAACTCAGGAAGATGAAAGTGGGTTGATCAGTATGCATGTAAAGTAGACTAATAGGCATCCATTTTGCACAGGTGCCCTAGGTAATAGTAAAATCAATGTAAATTTAACTTAAAACACATGGGAATGCAGCACTAATCATTATTCTAACTATGCCTAAGTGTGGATATTTTTAATAAAAAAGAGGTCATCATTATTCTGGTATAGCAATAATATAAACCAACAGTAAGATACAAGAAAACATTTCAAGGTACTCACTTCTAATCTAATGAGTCTTTGCTTAAAAAAATAAAACTTCGATTATTTTTACACATTGATTAAGCACAGGGTTCTATTTAACATATTACATATCAATTCACTCCTCAAACTGCTTTGAGAAAATGTTTTTGAGCCCTGGCTGCTGTGACTCAGTGGACTGGGTGTCATCTTGCAAACCAAAAGGTTGCGTATTCAATTCCTGGTCAGCACACATGCCTGGGTTGTGGGTCCGGTCCCCACCCACAGTGCATGCAACAGGCAACCGATCAGTGTTTCTCTCTCATATCGATTTTTCTCTTCCTCTCTTCCTCCCTATGTCTCTCTCTAAAATCAATAAAAGAAAAAAATAAAAATAAAATGTTTTTGAAATAGACAAAGATTTCCCTTTCCATTCTTAATACAACGATTTCCAAATCCACAGTGAAAAGTTTACATCCATTACAAAGAGAAAAAAAATTTAAAAAACCTGAAACAGGTCTTGAAATAACCTTAGCAATTCCTTCAATTTCTAGGCTCACTGGATTCTGTTCTTACCTAGTTTAACTTCTGCATTTTCAGTCAGCAAGACATTTTGCCCTTTAATATCTCGATGAATCACTTTATGCTGGTGCAGGTGACTCAGCCCCTGGAGTGAGGGAGAGTCAAAAAGGGTTAATAGGAACATAAACCGAGATACAAATAAACTATTTCAGATGTTAATGGTCTAAAAAAGATATAGACCCGTCCAGAGATCCTTTCATTATTATATTCACATCTTTCATGTTCTAAACCATAGGCAATTGATCAATGTAAACTGAAACACAGAGGCAACCCTTGCCATGCATGGCGCTGTGCTAAATGAAATGCTTTCATTCCTGCTTTGACGTCAGGGAGTGCAGGAGAGAAGGTACTGGTCAGCACGCCTGAGCTGAGCTAACAGTACTGAGAAAAGTGAGGGCTGCCTGTCTTTGCAGAGAACTAACCTGCTTAAACTGAACCCTCCACTTTTGGGATGTAATATTTGAATTTAAAACTTATCCTCTATTACACAAATTTAATTAAGCACAATAGAATATTATTCATTACAGCCAAGAAATTTTGCATTGGCTTTAGCCAACGTGGCTCACATTGAAAAAGGAAAGCAACAATTTCTATTTTCTTTGTTGGCATTTAGCACAGTCATCTTTAGTGTTTTTTGACATTTATGACTTTGTGTTCATTATATGAAATAATTATTCAGTGACATCCCAAAATGACTGTGTTCCATTTATCCATGAATTATTCTGATTTTGGCTTCTTTTCATGGAATACATTCTAACCTACAGAAGACTTGCTCTAAGGTTGTCACATGTTTTTTTTTTTAATGTAACCTAAAAGAATCTATTAATTAGTATCTCAAAGCAAATTATGTTATGCTAACAACTGCTAATTCAAGGTAATATTTCATACTTTAAGTATTGTTATTTTATTACAATTGCCCCCAAAAAGTTTGCCTGGTGTTTTCTGTAAGATGGCTCTAGTAGCGCTTAGCTGTCTTTAACTTCCTTCAAAACAATTTTGTTAGATTGTTTTGTGACAACTGTTGTGTTAGTGTGCATTTTCAAAAAAAACTTATCAAAATTGGTGAAGTTCTGTTTAGCCATTTTAATACTGAATATGGAAGAAAATATGCAACATTTTCATGGTATTATGGTTTATTATTTCCAGAGATAAAAATGCAACTGACACACACAAAAAGATTTGTTCAGTGTATGGAAAAGGTGCTGTGACTGATCAAATATGTTAAAAATAGTTTGCAAAGTTTCATGCTGGAGATTTCTCACTGGATAATGCTCCACAGTCAGGTAGCCCATTTGAAGTTCGTAGCAATGAAATCAAGACATTAAATTGAGAATGATCAATATTATACCACGCAGGAGAGAGCTGACTCACTCAAAATATCTGAATCAATAAAGTTATTGGTGAAAAGGGAAAAAATGTGTTTTATTTTAAGGAAAAAACTAAGCAGACTTTTTGGCCTACCCCATAGTTTTCCCCACAACAATGATACCATAGTATAAAAGATGAGGTGGACATGAAAAAAACCACAACAAAATATCTAAATTCTCTTGTGAAAAAAATTCAGCGTGAAAATATGGATGTCCAAGAAGATCCAAGTATACATTTAGGAATATCAATAAATGTAAACCATGTGACAGAACAGTTGAGACAGTGGTTTGGGCCTTTAAAAAGTAACTTTCTTATCTAGTCAGTTTGGTGCAGGATAGGCATCAAGCAGATTAAAATGTATGGTTTTCATAGCATATTAACATCCTATGAATCCTTAAGAGAGGAATGAAAATCCCAATCCCCCCTTCAGCACCAAAGTGGATGGAAGCAGACACCAGAGAACATATTAGACAAAGGGAGTATTTAATGAGATCATATGATGCATGGAGGGTCACCTCTGAAACTTCTTGTGATCAAATGTCTCTGACATAAGCCACCTTGTCTCAAATGCCAGTATCAGTTGGGAGAATGACTGTATTGGAATAGGGAAGAAAACAGTTGATTTCGAATATTTTGAAACTAGATACTGAGAGATACTCATGGGGTGAAACCTCCCTGCTGCTTTTTGAACCCTGAAGACTGTAGGATCAGCTCCTACAAGGTCACCCAACAGTGCAGAAACATACATTACGCAGAACCAGCCCTGAAGACCCAATAGATTCTTGGTCCCCGCTAAGTGGTCTGGATCACTGAAAAAATCATCATGCTTTCTCTGAATGAGTAAAATTTTAAGTCACAAATTCAAATTAAGTTTACATAATGGCATATCAATACTTGAGATAAATGTCAGATTTGAAGAAGATTAGCAGCAGTACCTCCTTGCTTCCCCCTCAAACTTTGTTTTGTGTTCTGTTTGAGAAATATTTTTGCCTACTTCAAAGCCATGGAAGTATTATCCCGTGTTTTCTTGTAAGAGTTTTATTTTTCCCATTTATGTCTATAATCCAGCTGGAATTAATTTTTGAATATGTAATAAGCAGGTGTCAAGCTTCATGTTTTCACATGGATATTATCAATCGACCTTATTCACGGAGAAGAGCACCCTTTCCCCAGGCACGCAGCGGTGGTTCCTTTGTCATCAGCCAGGTTTCCCTGTGAAGTGGGTCTGTTCCTGGGCTCTCGATTTCCTTGGCCACTTGTCTTCTCTTATGACCATACTACTTTGTTCTAATTACTTAGTAGCTTTTATAATACGTCCTGGTAACTAGCAGCACACATCTTTCAGCTTTGTTCTTCTCAGGACTGTGTTGAGTATTCTTAGCCCTTTGCATTTATATATAATGTTTTTAAAATTCAGCTTGTCAATATCAACAGCTATACCTAGAACAATTTTGAATTCATAGGGAATTCAAGGAAACTGCGGATCAAGTTGGGGAGAAGTAATACCTTTGGACTAGTGAACATTCTGATCTGTGAACTGGTATACACTTCCATTTATTAAGCTCTTCTTTAATTTCTCTCAGTAGTATTTTGAAGTTTTCAGTGAAGTTGTTCACATCTTTCTATACATTTATTTCTAAGGATTTGATTTTTATGGTATTATGGATGTTATTTTAAAATATCATTTTGTATTTTCTTTTTTGCCTAATGTGGTTTGAATTTAACAAATAAACCTCATTTTTAATGCCTTTGGTCTTTTTTAACCTCCGTCCATCCGTCTATCCATCCATCCATCCCTGCATCCATTCACAGCCCGTAATCTATTTCTCAAAGGCATATCTTGGACACATTGTAAAAACAGTTTTAACTTTTATTTCCTTACATGAAGAGGCAGAGGTTATAAACAAATAATGATTGCCAAGCAGATCCAGTAAGAATGCTCAGTGGACATATAATAGCTTCTATTTTAGTAGCAAGGATAATTAAAGCATTTTGAATGAAATGAAAGATGACCAACTACGTTCTCTTCTCTGAACTGAGCTCAGCAACTACAACAGTACTGCCCAGGTGGCCTGGCTGTGGGATTCGTGGGCAAAACTGGGCAAACACGTACAGTCTTGTCCAGTTATTTTCATTAATTTAAGTAACTAACTCAAGTAATTTTTTAAAAATGTATGATCAGATAAACTATGTTCTGTATACTGAAATGGTTATAATCACACAATCCTCAAGTTAGCTATAAACTTTCACAAATGGAAAGTGAATGATTAAAATATCTCTATAACAATCAATTTCCTAAGTGGGACATCACCTGTATGACCTGAAACCAGACCTCCAATTGGAAACCCCATTGGAAATGAATCCCTTGTTAAAAGAAGTCACCCAATGTTAACTCAAAAGAGAGTGCATGGGGCCCCTTCAGCATGGCGCTTACCTCCCTTACAGCAGGCCACAGCAACCACCCCTACCACCACCACTGCTGGAATGCAGATTCAAAGAGGGTCCCGGTGCATTTATGAATTTCAGTGGAAGGTTAGTACAAAGTTCAACACCTCCCAAGATATCCTGCACTGTTACTTACTCGTAAGATCTCCCTGCAGATGTATGCGATCCACTCCTCCTTCAACGTGTTACCTTTTGTGTTCTTGATCAGGTCTGTGACAGAGCCGGCTCCACAAAACTCCATCACCAACTGGAAAAGGAAGCAAACATCTCATTATAATTACACTTCTCAGCTTCCGCTGGGTTTAGAAAGCATAATAAGCACTGGTTGAAGGCTTTGTAATGTCACTTCTGCAAAGAACAAGGGATTGTAAGACAATATATGAAACATAAGCTTTAATCTTCACTTATTCCTAATGTAATAAAAGGAAAGATTATTTTTTAATTCTAAAACCTGAAAATTATAGTTGAAGATTGAGGAAAATCTCCATATTCTGTATATTTTATAAATGGGGGCAAGTAGGCGGTTCAGATGTAGTTGAGAGTATCTGTTTTCATCCAGCAGTACAACTTATCCCTCCTACAAAAGCAGGATCATTTCCCTGTCTGAAAGAGCTCTGGTAGTCTCGACAGTCCCAAGCGAGGACAACAGAAGTGTACACTGCTTATGTTATTAGTTTGTGAGTGGCATTGTAAGCTGTCAGAGTAGGGACTTTTAAATTAAATACAGCAAATGTTCCCAGGAGGTTGGACACATCAAATAAATTCAATAAACAATAAGCTCTAATTTAGCACCTTTCATCCAAAAATCTCCAACTTCCCTATAAATATGAACTCATTACAGCACTCAGCAGCTTTATAAAATAGGCAGAAAATAAACACTTCCCTTACTCAATGGAGATTGGAGACTAGAAGAGGAAAAGCAATTTATCTGGTTTTGCATTCATTTTCTTGGTTTAGAGAAACATATCCATTTCCATTCTTTCTCCCTCTTCTTCTGAAAGCCTTCAATGTAAGTCACCTTACTGGGTATTTATATCTTTTTGTAATTACATAACAACAATTCAGAATAACTACTAATTAGTCTTTGACTTGACACTAGAAACAGAACTAATATGGAGCCATAATGAAATCACATTTTTTATTTTGGCTTTGTCCAAATGTACATGCCTAACATCAAACCGCATCACCAGGTCCTAAAAGATACCCTACCAGGCTGCAAAGTCTTCAGGTAGAAATGACTTTTTAAATGTATTCCTAGTTGAAACTCAATAAAAATTCATGAAATTAGTTTTATAAGTTAATTGCCAGTGCCTGTTCTAACTTGTCATCTTATGATTCCACACAGGGTAGGGAAGCTCTCCCAAGTTTTTCCAAGTACCAGTGGAAGTTCAGAACCTATCAAAAGCTTTTGTGAGAAAATTTGAGGAGTACCGCAATAGATCACATTTCAGCCCAATATGAATTGTACAGTTATCATACATGATAGCCAGGAAGGAACCAAAGACCATAAAGTCATGTTAGAAAGAATTCAGGAGTCAGTTTGAAGAAGTTCTCACTGGTCAAAGATGAAATAATTTGAGAATCAATAAAGATAATAACTTCAATATATTAATATATATTAAATATGCTTAACTGAAGGTATTAGTCAAGACACGCTTCAAAAAGAACATAACTGGCACTGTTTGAAGAAAATGAAGAAACAACTTCTTTTTTTGAGAACTGGTAAATAAAGGGGGTGAAATTAAGCATTTATACTGCCTTCCTGTTATAAGTTTTACCACTAGGTAAATAAATAATAAAAAAGAGAAAGCTTCTCTTCATTAAAAGCAGTATTCCATTAATAAATGACAAGGGCATAATAAAATTAGAATACCACACTTTCACAACTTCTAATAAATGAATGGATTTAGGAACTGATCGTAAATGGCTGCTAACATTAAAATATAGAAGAAATAACCAGCTCTAATTTGCTTTCTGATTAGAATAACACATCACCTAAAGAATAGTCTTACCAAAACCAAAACAAAACAAAGCAAAAATTTCCCAAACCTGAAATCTGATGAAATTTCTAGTATTAACTACCAATTTACAGGAAATTCAGAAGACTGATAAACGTGCTCCATCATGGGGATACAATCATCAAAACCTAGAATAAAAAACTGCAGGGAAAATGACCCACCTACTTCAACCAATAAATTACAGAAAAGAAAAAAAGAGATGAAGGAAAAATCCATAAATTTAAAAACACTTAAAAAGATATACCAACAGATTGCAAGGATGCAACTTATCTAGGTAGTAATTTATGTTGTTAATTTTTTTACAATTTTAAAATTGATATACACAGAGAGAGATTGATTTGTTGTTCCCCTTATTTACATATTTATTGGTTGATTATTGATTCTTGTATGTGTCTGGTCCAGGGATTATGCCCACAACCTTGGGGTATCGGGATGATGCTCTAACCAGCTGAGCCATCTGGCCAGGGCAAAAAGTTGTTAAATTTTTTTTACATATTTTTTTATTGATTCTAGAGAGAGGGGAAAGGAGAAAGAATGAGAGGGAAATAAACATCAATGTGAGGGAGAAACATCAATCACTTGCCTCTTGTATGTGCTCCAATCGAGGATCCACATACAACCCAGGCATGTGCCCTGACTGGGAATCAAACCCATGACTTTTTGGTTTGGTGGACTATGACCAAGCAACTGAGTCACACTGGCCAGAGCAGTTGTTAAAATTTTTGAGAGAATCTACTGACTAGATATTTGATCATACTAAAGAAATGTGGTTAATAATTTTTAACTGTGATAATAGCACTATGGTTATTTTTAAAAGCTCCTATCTTTTTAGAAACATTCTACAAATAAAATGTATAACATGATGATAAGATGACAGTCTCTCCTACAAATCGTGCTAAGACAGCTGGGTAACCACCTGTGAAAGAATAATGTTGATACCCTACCTCACACCATATACAAAATTATCTCAAAATGGATCAAAGACCTAAATATGAGGTAACGCTATAAAATTCTTAGAGAGAACACAGGGGTAAATCCTCATGACCTTGGTTTGACAATGGATTTTTGGTGATGACAACAAAGACACAAGCAATAGAAGAACGTATAGATAATTTGGATTTCATCAAAATTAAAAACTATGGCCCTGGCTGGTGTAGCTCAGTGGATTGAGTGCAGGCCTGCCAACCAGAGTATTTCGGTTCGATTCCCAGCCAGGGCACATGCCTGGATTGCAGGCCAGTTCCCAGCAGGGGATGCATGAGAGGCAACTATACATTGATATTTCTCTCCCTCTCTCCTCCCCTTCCCCTCTTAAGATAAATAAATAAAATTTTTTAAAAATTAAAACTTTGTACATCAAAGAACACTATCAAGAGAGTAAAAAGATAACCCACAGAATGACAAAAAATTCGCAAATCATACCTAATAAAGTCTAGTATCCAGAAATGTAAAGAAACTTAAAACTCAGCAACAAACACATAAACAACACAATCTTTAAATGGACAAAAGACTTGAATAGGCATTTCTGCAAAGAAGATATACAAATAACCATCATGTGAAAAGACACTCAACACTGACAGTCATTAGGAAAATGCAAGTTAGAACTACAGTGAGACACCACCTCACACCCACTAGGATGGCTATACTTGATTTTTAAAAAAGCAGAATATATTTTGGTGTATGGAGTAAGTTGGTGCTTGAATTTCACTTTTTTGCACGTAGCTGTCCAGTTCTCCCAACACCATTTGTTGAAGAGGCTATTATTAGTCAATTTTATGTTGCTGCCCCCCTTTGTTGAATATTAATTGGCTGTAGAGATTTGGGTTTATTTCTGGGCTCTCTGTTCTGTTCATTGGTTTTTATGCCAGTACAAGGCTTATTTGATTACAGTGGCCTTGTAATATAATTTGGCATCAGGTATTGTGATCCCTCCTGCTTTGTTCTTCTTTCTCAAAATTGTAGCTGCTATTTGGGGTCATTTATGGTTCCATATAAATTTTTGAAGTGTTTGTTCTATGTCTGTGAAGTATGTCATTGGTACTTTAATAGGTATCGCAGTGAATCTGTAAATTGCAAAATAAATTCAAGGTGGATAAAAGACTTAAATATAAGCCGTGACATCATTAAGTCCTAGAGGAGAACATTGGCAAGAAAATCTCAGATATTTCATGCAGCAACATTTTTACTGATATGTCCTCTAGAACAAGGGACATAAAGGAAAGAATAAACAAATGGGATCTCATCAAAATAAAAAGCTTCTGCACAGCTAAAAAAAACAGTATTAAAATAAGAAGAGAACCAACTGTATGAGAAAACATATTTACCAGTGATACCTCAGACAAGGATTTAATCTCCAAAATATACAAAGAACTTACATGACTCCACTCTAAGAAGACAACCAACCCAATTAAAAAATGGGAAAAGGACTTGAACAGACACTTCTCCAAGGAGAACATACACAAGATCCAGAGACACATGAAAAGATGCTCAATATCACTAGCTATCAGAGAGATGCAAATTAAAACCACAATGAGATACCACTTTACACCAGTCAGAATGGCTATCATAAACAAAGCAACAAACAACAAGTGTTAGAGAGGTTGTGGAGAAGAGGGGACCCTAATCCATTGTTGGTGGGATTGCAGATTGGTACAACCACTGTGGAAAACAGTATGGAATTTTTCTCAGGAAAATAAAAATCGACCTGCCTTTTGACACAGCAATTCCACTGCTGGGATTATATCCTAAGAACCCTGAAACACCAATCCAAAAGAACCTATGCACCCCAATATTCATAGCAGCACAATTTACAATAGCCAAGTGCCGGAAGCAACCTAGGTGCCCATGAGTATATGAATGGGTCAAAAAATTACGGTACATATACACAATGAAATTCTATGCAGCAGAAAGAAAGAAGGGGCTCCTACCCTTTGCAACATCATGGATGGAACTGGAAAGCATTATGCTAAGTGAAATAAGCCAGGTGGTGAAAGACAAATACCATATGATCTCACCTTTAACAAGAAGCTAAACAATAAAACAAACAAGCAAGCAAAATAAAAACAAAGACACTGAAATAGAGAACAGGGGGGCAGTGACCGGAGGGGAGAGGGGAGGGAATTTCAGGGGGGAAAAGGGGTAGGATTTACAGAAACTAGTATAAAGGACACATGGACAACAACTAAGGGGAGTGGAAATGGGAGGGAGGTGGGGAGCATTTGGGGGGGGC